AAACGGACCACAAGATGTAACAAAATTGATCTTAATTATTAATTTAATACCAAACAGAAAACAATAAACTTGCGGAAAAGATGGTATACCGCAAACATGAGGTGCAAAAATTTGTACACCATATCCGGATTTCGACAATTAATATCTCTTCAGTGATGTTAGGAATCGAAACGGTATTTGGAAGACCATATAATTTACCTCAATTTAGGATAGACTCTTGAATTTTGAAGAGTCGAAATGTATACCCTACTAAATTGTACTTACCACTTTTCTCAAAATGAAGTGAAAATTTCTTGACAATCCTTTCAATATAAAGACAAACTTTTCCAAAATGAAGGTATTTTAGAGATGAAAACGTACATCCAACCTACTGAAACGTTTCATTGCTTCACAGAAAAAGCTCATATGTATTTAAAAGGTTTATGGAAGACGCGGTTCATAAGAAATACTAGCAGTCTCGTAAAAAGACGAAATAGACATCTGTAATTTGTGTCTGTTTGTATTTTTACCCTGCCACGTTTGTTCTTACACTATGTTGTAATGTAACACCAGTGTCCCAGGTTAAGGGGAGAGTTGAGCGCTCAAACATGTTTAATCCCGCCACATTCTTTATGTGTCTGTTCGAAGTCCGGAGCCTGCAGTTTCGTGCATTGTCTTGGTTCATAGAATTGAGAATGGAAATGGGGGGGGGGGGGGGGATGTCAAAGATAAAACAACCCGATCAAAGAGCAGACAACAGCCGAAGGCCACCAATGGGTCTTCAACGCAGCGAGAAAATCCCGCACCCGGAGGTGGTCCTCAGCTGGATCCTGAACAAAATTGTGTACTAGTTCAGTGAAAATGGACGTCACACTAAACTCCAAAACATATCAATGAACTAAAATTAAAAAACATACAAGACTAACAAAGGCCAGAGGCTCCTGACTTGGGACAGGCGAAAAAATGCGGCGGGGTTAGACATGTTTTGTGAGATCTCAACCCTCCCCCTATACCTCTAGCCAATGTAGAATAAAGAAAAACATAGCAATACGCACAGTAAAACTCAGTTTAAAAGAAGTCCGAGTCCGATGTCAGAACAGGTAACAAAATAAACTAAGCAAAATGACAATGATACATAAATGAACAAAGGACTACTAGCAGTTACTGACATGCCAGCTCCAGACCTCAATTAAACTGATTGAAAGATTATGTCTTCATCATCATAATAAAATCCAGTACAATCCCTCCCGTTATGAGTTTAGTATCATACCACCATAGAATATATAAGAAGAACATAAACCGTATCATGTCCACAACTGGTTTTAGAATAAATGTGTTTATTTCCGATACAAAGACCCTATGAGTGAATCAATATTAATACCAAAATATGCAATCATTAATGACTAATTGACAACAGTACCGTAACTACCGGTATATCCTTTCCGAATAAGTCTGTTTAAAGGTTTGGTTAGATTTTGAGGTGAATGCCGACATTTTTGTGCTTTGTAAAGAAGTCTGCATGTTGATTTATATTTACGAATGATGTCTGCCATATTTGTTTTACGTAAATTGTTTTGTTATAAATCATATAGGCATTTAGCTTTCTAAATTGAGTTGTTTATTTCTTTTTCATATTGGAGCCTTTTATAGGCGACTATATGGTATGGGGTTTTCTCATTGTTGAAGACCGTACGGTTGCTTATAATTGCTTACATCAACTTCATTTGAACTTTGGTGGCTAGTTGTATCATTGGCTATCATACCACATCTCCTTATTTTTAAACTTAACAGAACTAACTTACTTACTAAATCCTCAACATAAACAACGGGAAAAAAATTTAAAAACAAGATGAACAAAACACTGGGGCTTGATATTTGCAAAAACCTGACTGCACAAATCTGTTTCAGAGGAAACCAATAATTGCTTATAAAAGAAGCGAGAACTTACAATTGTTGACTATAAACCTTAAAATAATAAATATGTGAAACACAAAAAAACACAAAAGTTCTTATATTAAGACTGATGAAGTCGAACTCTGATATATGCTTTCGTATAATATATTACACGACCGAAACACCAGACTTAATGTAAGGGCTCATTGGTGAACGTTGATGCTTTGATTGACACACAGGGAGCAATCGTTGATATTTTTTGATATCAGGAATTCGAATTTTTGATATCAAAAAATCATTTTTTGATATCAGAAAATGTATTTCTTGATAACAAAATATCGTTAGTAATATTTGATATCAGAAAATCTATTTTTTGATATCAGAAAATGGATTTCTTGATATCAAAAAATGATTTTTTGATATCAAAAAATCGAATTTCTGATATCAAGAAATAAAGATTATTTTCTGATATCAAGAAATCGAATTCTTGATATCAAAAAAGGCAATTTTTGATATCAAAAAATTGAATTCCTGATATCAAGAAATATTTTTTGATATCAAAAAATCATTTTTTGATATCAGGAATTCAATTTTTTGATATCAAGAAATATTTTTTGATATCAGAAAATAAGGAATAAATAGTAAAACGGCGCCTCATAGAAAGGTACATGATAATAATGAACAAGTAATGCGAACTAAAATGTTTATGGTAGGCGCCACATGAAAGATGTGAAATTGAGAATTAAAAGGCGTGTCCTGTCAGTTTACTAAGTGAAAACGTTTAAGTGACCCAGATGTCAATTCTTAATATTAACAAATTATCCAAAATGTTTTAGGGAACATACTACATACGATATGATTTAATGGGAATCAAATACAAACTAAACAAGTTTTTAACCAGGAGGAACGACCTTCTGTTGGATTTAAGTTTACACAGTGGAGACAACAACTGTTGAAATTTACAAGTTTTTTCCTTTTCATGATAAGGTAAAACTTATAAACCCGGCTGAATATCAATAGTTGATATTTTAATATAAAAAAATAAAGTGAGGAACATCCTCTGCCGCTTTCATATATTGATCACGAGCCCTGCCTTGGTATGACAGCCGAGAATATCTTGATGACTCTTATATTTGAATGTTTGTTTCTTTATTTGTCTATGAGCATTTACCCCTTCAAGCTTCGATTCGCTCATACGTAGTAAAAAGTTCGTATTCAATTAATGAATTGTATATTGGAAAATTTTACTATGTGATGTTTTTTTTTTTTGCATTATTATATAATTATGTAAAAAAAACAATTTGATCCTTTTAGAATATCTTAAACACATCATCCTCCTCGTCAGTAGTTACATGGTAAGTAGAAATCAATAAAACACACTAATTAGAATATATCAGTATCTCTTTTAATCTAGATCTAATTGCTCATCAAAACTGTAATCTAAGGGTTTGTCAGAAGGCTGCGCTAATTAAGTGTATTCTGCAATATTGGGATAGTGTCCGCTAGGCTTTTGTGTTGGCTTTTATGTCAATAATTGGTCGCCTTTTCTGTTGAATGATTTCATTGATTTAAGTATTATAAGGCTAACAGAAGGCTTTACGTTGACAAATGCAATATAAGATAAGTCAATTCCAAGTTACAATAAATATTCTAGTCTCTCAACTTAAACTACTTTGTTTTCATTTCAGATCGGAAGTACAAACCAATGTGATGAGACGACACCTGTTGTCGTCTGCCTTGTAATACCAAGTTGACATTTTCATCAAATTATCCCTTGTTTTACAAAGATATTAATATAAATTTGTATCGATTTCCACTCAAATACAATGACTATATCACCAATGGTTATTCCATGATCTTATCTGTTGAAATCTGACAAAAATCAACGTTACTTTGTTGTGTACTGTTTTTTTCAATTTATAAATTAGATTGATCGAAATTTACATTGATTTGCTAAAATTACTGAATTGAAAGATCAGTCTACTCGACTCCCCGTTAATCTATACATGCTGTTTTGGATAGAAGAAAAAGACATTCATGGTATATATCCCCGCCGTAATCTCTGGTTCATTTAAGTGTATAACACAAAATTCTAACCATAAAGAAGAATGTTTATTGAAAAAAGTTGGAACTGAAAGTTTTCATAAAACGTCAATAAAAAAGGAACATTCTAAAAGTCGCACTTAAGCACAGACACTAATGTAGTTCACTCGACGTCTTTAAAAGTCATTTCTCTTCGCTGTAATCTGTGTGTATTGAAAAATTGCAGATAGCAACTAAGATCAACCGCTTGCTCAATTTTACCTTTAATCTTTTATTTCAATAATGTCAACACAAAACGTTGTGCCGTAAACACAATATCTTTAATCGACCTTCCTTAATTGGTAATTTTATATGCAGAAAACATGAAATTTTATTTCAACAGTGCATTTAGATTTAACAACTGCTGAGCGCGAACTGTTGCATTCAGATATTAGAATGACGATTTTGAAGAATATGAAATCGTTGGTTAAACAGATGGATCGATGAATGCCAGGTGGATCTCTGTGTAACTTGAGCGACAGTTAAGAATACGGAATTCAACAGGTATATTGAAGCTAGTCACAACTAGTTTAAATGTTGCTTTATGTCTTTAGATATGGAGAATACTTTTGATATATAAAATGGCTTTAATTCTTAAAACTGTCTGTCAATCGTACTTGAAAGCAATTGGATTATATATTTATTCTTCGAAAAGGAATATATTGGTGTGAAAAAGGGTGTTAAATTCTGTAGACAGATAAGATTTGTAAATGCCGTGATCGTCATATATATAAACAATTGTTTATTAGTAAATACCAAAAACGAAGAATTTGTGAATCGACCTTTTTTCTTTCAAACGCATTAGACTCTGTTTCATAACAGTTTGTATGCAAAAAAACAATTATCACGGGCATTTAACGCATATATTGTGAAAATCTAAAATATATACTTTTTGTGATTATAGGTAATGTTATTATATTTCCATAATATGTCAACACATGTATTATTATCCCACAGCTGTTAAAAGAAATTAATTACTATATGTACAAGCAGTATAGTTTATGTTCTGATATTGAAAATAGATTCCAGTCATTTGAAGTTATTAATGAAACGAATGTCTGATTTGACGATATACATCATTGACAGTACATTCTGCACTGATTATGAAATCTATTTGCAGTCAGCGACGCAACAAGGATTGTTTTAAATTGTATATTTGGAGAACATTCTTGTTGAAAAACAGGACTTAAATTGTCAGTGTTAATTGGAAAGCTATTCCATGTAGTAATTATGCGTAGGATTTGTATATCAAACATACCTGGTGACCGTATTTAGGAGAACTGTTAGTTTTCAGAATGAAACACGCAGATAAGGCTCATACCATGTTACTGGAGAATTTAAAAGTAATATCGGAACACAGGAGGCGCTCTTTGGCTGCAAACGAAAATTACAGGTACGTCTTTGTTTAAAGATTACGTTTAATATAGATTAATAATATTTCTAGATGACCATGAACATATGATGAAACTCAACATTATGTATGCTTTCTGTTATTATGAGCACATGATGCAACTATAGATTTGCTACATTTTCAAGCTAGCCATGAACACACGACAAAATTTGACATACTTTCTAGGATACCATGAGCAGAGCACGAACCGTTACACTATAAAACTTTAGATGTGTGATGTTTATTAACAAGACACAAGATAAATCTTTTTGTGTTTGTTAATTTTTGATAACCTTGAAGACAATATAAAAACTTGTAGGTTATAACAGAAGATAGCTACAATCTAAACATATTTACATTTGAAAAAACTTCGTTCATTGTGTACATTATAGAAATTAAAAATCATATAGATATCTTGTCATTCGTGTATAGTCTTAATTTCAACTTATTTAATTGGATTCAATTTTAAACCAAGGAGACAGAATAAAACATCTCTTCTTTAAAAAATACGTACCAAACAGGCATGTGGACAGTTGTCTCATTGGCAATCATACCACATCTTCTTTTTTATATTTTCACGATTGGACATTACGTAAATGTCAAATATGAAATAAAAGGCCATTTTGAAATGATAAATAACATCAATAAAATACTTGTACATTTATATTACACAAAAATCAATTGGAATAGAAAAGTATGTATGTGACAAAAATTGATAATATTATATTTCCGTCGTCTCTGAATTTGAGTTTACTGAAAAGAAAAAAAAACGAAGAGAGAGAGAGATCGTATAGACCTCACTTTCCGTTTTAATTTATTCTTCACGAGCAATACCTGTTGTTAAATGATGGATTCTTATAAGTGGATTTGTGTAGTTTATAAACATCTAAACATATTGGTTTCTGATATACATAATCATTCCTGAAATTTTTATTACTTGTCAATCGATGATATTAATAATATAAGTAAGTGTGAGAACAGGATCAAGAAGTTCTATGGTGTATGTTCAAGTCCTAATATAATGAGCAGGAATCAAAACCTACACTTTACGACTTACTTGAATAATTTACACATTCTAGCATGTTCTGGACAAAGCTCTATCAAATTACTACCATATCGGATGAAACTTAGTCTTTTGTCTTTGAACTGTTAAAAAACATTAGATCATACTGGAATATTTCAGTTTCTCACATGAAACTCTATACAAAAATTCGTTACCGCTATTTACTTAAAACCTTTACAAATTCTTTCATAGGTACAAAAATCGATAGAAATCTTACATCAAACGGGATATAACCTCCTAATGGTTAAGGTTATGTTGTTTATAGAGCACACAAATTAAGATACGATACATATAAACTTAATTACTAGTCCTATGAATAATCTTATTCTAAAAGGCTGTCAATTTTACACTGTTGTTAGATCTTTATCACTTCTAACATTGCATGTGTTTTGAATTAATAAAAACTTAAATATGTATTGTTAAACAGTCAAAAACTTATTATTGTACATCCTGTCTATACTTATATTTCTGTATTGCACTAGGTCATGACTCAATCCGACTGTTTATGTCGTCGTTACTTTAATTTCGTTGGATGTATAAAAATAAGAAGATGTGGTATAATTGCCAATGAGACAACTCTCCACCAGCGACCAAATGGCATAGAAGTTTTAAACGCTATAGGTCACCGTACGGCCTTCAACAATGAGCAAAACCCATACGGCATAGTCAGCTATTAAAGTCCCCAAAATGACAAATGTAAAACAATTCAAACGAGAAAACTAACGGCCTGATTTATGTACAAAACCCCCAAAAAATTAACGAAAAACAGATATGATATACAACAACAAACGACAACCACTGAATTACAGGCTCCTGACTTGGGACAGACACATACAGAATGTGGCGGGTTCAACATGTTTGCAAGTTCATAAAAACTGACAAAATTAAACGTTATCAACAAATGAAACGAGCTGACAACAACTATCATATTCCTGACTTGGTGACTGACCTTGTTTGACTCATGGAGTCCAATAATCGGTTGTTGTACTTAATACAAGATTTTATAAAACAACGTCATAGTACAGGAAAACACGATCTCGTGCAGTGCCAAGAATAAGCTGTACTAAATTCCACAATGCAGAAAAACTAAATAATTATTTAAGTATTTCTTCAAAAGATTAAATACTAGTAACTAATTGACGTTTATCCCTAGTTGCATATTAACCATTTTCAATACATTCATTGTGCTAATCCCTAAACTTGTTAGATTTATATAAATAGTACCGTTAAATGGAAAAAGCTACTTTTTATTAAATACCTGCAGTTGAAATCGTACTTCCACAATAAATCTCTAAATTGGTGGTCAAATGTAGTAACATTTTCTACCAATTTATGATATCTGAATCTCGTTTGACGATTTTCAATAGTATACTACACAGGAAAAACAGCAATGTCCGTTTTACGGATGTTCGTTCCAAACATCCGTTTTTGCGGATATGAATATACCACGCTTGCTTGTATCCATAAGTATTAAATGAAACGTTCCATGCATGAAAAACATATATTTTACATATATACATGTGCGTTTTACGGACGGAAAATTTGATGACATAAACATTTATTGATGTAAAACGTATACAAATTATCATACTGTTTTTTAGGCAAAAGCCCATCAACAATGATAGGTACATAATGGATAGAATCGTTCAGTTAATGCATTATACCTAGACAATACAGTGACTAAATCATTTTATTATATTTACTTCTATGTTTTCCTTGAGATGATCTTTGTGTATTTTGCTTTTTTTTCGTAATGTTTTTGTGGATTGTTGTTATTTCTCTTGAATTTGTTTTCCTGTCTTTTGAAAAAAGCTACCGAGTACCTATTTGGTATCTACAAACTTTATTTTAGGTAGCACAGCAGATTTTTTATTTTTTTATTGAAAATTCGACTGTTTATTGTTTCAATTCTGTATATTTGCCATCTGCACAGATTTAAATAAAGATGGGGTGCTAACAGAAAGAAGAATCAATGAGCTGCTGCTTTACACTCACTGTTACTCATATTACAAATACGAAAATAATAATGTACCATATTCGGAGAAAATTTTAATATTTTTTCTAATTTCTTATTGTCGAAATTAGTTTGTTTAATTTTTAAGTATTGCTGTAGTTTTATTTTGCATGAATGATAAAGCAAAGGATATAAGCTCCAAAACCGTGTCTCAGATTTATGATAGTGTGTCCTTAAACGGATAATTGTCAGACTGGATCTCTTTTCGTTCCAATGACCTTATAAAATTGAAAGTATTAAAAATAAATATATTTTTAAACTACCTTTTATGAAAAAATATCGGAGACATAGCTCTTTTTTGATGAAATAAACAAACTTTTAATATCTCTTAGGCTGACAATCTAATTATAAAATAAGAATAGTGTATCTTTTAATACTTTCCATCTAATATGGTCATTTTTGGAAACGCGTTCTGACTATCTCTCCTTTTAAATGGCACTTCATTTGTCTTAGTATCTTTGATAATGACAAAGTGATAGCTGTTGGATTTTATTGATTGATTGATTGGTGTTTAAAGCCAACTTAAGCACTATTGAGCTATTTCGTGGCGGTCAGTTTTTATTGGTGTAGGAAGCCGGAGTGCCCGGAGAAAACTACCGACCTTCGGTAGGAAAACTGGCAATCCTAGGTCCCTAGAAAGTACAAAGTACTTTATTTTGTAGTTTTTCTTTATCCATTTTCATTGTCATATTCAACTTTTGAACTTATACTTAACTGAAGTTAAAGATCATTTGACCAAAGTTAACGTTTATTTTTCCTGCTTTGTTAAGATCCTTTTGGGTTTGATGACCCAAAACGTTGACTTTTGGTTGATGATCCCAAACGTTTTATTTTTTTGGGTTTGATGATCCCAAACGTTTTATTTTTTTGGGTTTGATGATCCCAAACGTTTTATGTTCTTTTGGGTTTGATGATCCCGAACGTTTTATGTACCTTTGGGTTTGATGATCCCAAACGTTTTATGTTCCTTTGGGTTTGATGATCCCAAACGTTTTATGTTCTTTTCGATTTGACGATCCGATGGCCAAACGTTTTATGTTCTTTTGAACTTGACGATCCCATGAAAGCCTTTTCTTTTGAGTTTGACGATCCCAAACGTTCTATGTCCTTTAGGTTTGTTGATTCCAAACGGTTTATGTATTTTTGGTTTCCTAAAGATTGGCTTAAAACGTATATAATGAAACTAATTCAAATAACACGTAAAGTAAACATTGAAATTGATGTAATAATTCTAAATCACTTTATTCAAAATGTTGGTTTAAGGCCTACTCGTCAGGATTATTCAATAGATGACCGAAAGTCGGTGGTTTTCTCTGGGCATTCCATCAATAAAAAAACTAAAATTCATCCCATTATTCTGTAATACACGTTCTTCACAGGCTTTCTTTATACAGTAATCCTCTTTGAAATGAACAGGATCATTATTCATTACATTTTTGTTTCGATATATTTGCCTAAGAAATTTAACTGTACTTTTCGTTACACACATCTGTTTTCTCATACCATTTTTAAAATATGGATTATTAAGTCTCCCAAACGAAGTTTGGGAAGACTTATTGTTTTTGCTCAGTTCTTATTATTATTATTATTCTTCTTCCTCTTCCTCTTCCTCTTCCTTTTCCGCCGCTTTTAAATTTGAACTTGTCCGCACCCGTTCTCCAAAACCACTTGTCAGATTAACTTAGGGTTTGACAATATGTTAGACTAACATGTCTAGTGGTGCAATCAGGGTTTTGTTTGTGCAATGGGGTTTATAAAGGGGTACTTTGAGGGGCAAAAAGAAAAGAGGGTTTTACTATAGAACCCTATGGGATTTTATTTTTTAAAATTTTCAAATGATTATAACTTGAAAACCGTTTGTGATAGACACAATCTTTTTAATTGAAAATGTTCTAAATGATAAAACCCATTAAATGAAATACAGGG